GCGGGGCGGAGCCGGTGGCTTACGGGCCGGGGGCGGGTGTAGGTGATGATGGGAGGCTGAGAGTCGGTGGTCGATGCTGAGGCACCGTGCGTTGGAGTGGAGGACGGCCGTCCCAGGGCGGTTTGCACCCGGAGCCCCCAGGGAAGAGGAGCGGGTGGGGGTTTCTGGGAGGAGTGCAGAGCCGCTGCGGATGGACAGCGACTGTGTGTTCAGAGACGGGGCTTGAGGCGAAGAGACCGGACCTCCCTCAGATGTTAACCAGTTTGTGTTGAGTCTTCAGCTCTCCGCCCTCTGGAAATCACAGACCTAACCCATGACTTCTTTCTTGCAGGAGAGTGAAGATGGCATCGAGGGCGATGGTGAGTAGCATCATGGTGGTATTTTTTGTCCCCAAAACTCAGGTCACCTATTCCCAGCAGTTGGCATCTCGGGATGTTAGGGATTTGGGGGAGAGTGGTACACAGTGGCTCTTTGCAGCACAATATTAAAGAGCATAACGTTTTAGCGGTATGGCCACTCTCTGAGCCTGTTTGCATCTGTAAATGGGAACTATAATTTTACCTACCTCATAGGTTGATATCAGATTTAAATTATATTTAGCAGTCAGGAAATGTAATTATAATTCTGTTATTTTTTTTTCTTGACATATTTCGGTTTTCTTTTCAGCTGTTCTCTCGGATTATGAAAGTGCAGAAGACTCAGAAGTGAGTGTGATAGGTTTTTTTCCTTTGGTGTATATATTTAAATGTATTTTAAAAAAAAATATATCTGTGGTTCAAAAGTATCATTACCTACTTGTTAACTCTTCTTTTGCATTCTTCACTTACACTTTGGAAAAACTGATGCAAAAGGTCTTTTTAACATTTTTAATTTTATTTATTTATTGATGATTGAGAGAGAAACACTGATTTGCTGTTTCCATTATTCATTCATTCATTCATTGATTCTTCTATGTGCCCTCACTGGGGATCGAACCTGTAACCTTGGTGTATTGGGGTGATGCTCTAACAAACTGAATTGCCTGCCCAGGGCCCAAAAGGTCTTGTTCATTTAGAGCAGGAGTGGGAACCTTTTTTCTGACAAGGGTCATTTTGATATTTATAACATCATTTTCAGGCCATACAAAATTATCAACTTAAAAATTATGCTGCTCTGAAAAAAGCTCCTAGATTTATGGAGAGACACACATTGATTGGTTGACCCCTGCACACCCCCTCTCCCCCACTAGGGCTGGGGATTGAGCCTGTAACCAAGGTACAGGGCCCTTGACCAGAATAGAAACTGGGATCCTTCAGTCTGCAGGCTGACACTGTAGCCAGCGGTTCTCAACCTGCGGGTCGAGACCCCTTTGGGGGTGGAACATCCATATCACAGGGGTCGCCTAAGACCATCGGA